CCTCGACAGGCTCAACAGCGTCTACCTGGGACACACCGGAAGGGGCAGGACCCCGAGTGGGGAGGGGGTCTACCGGGGGGGGACCTGGCACAAGGAAGAGCGGTGGCGGGGGGAGGGACGGAGTGCGGTAGGGGAAGAGACGGTAGTAGGGGACCGACTCGTCGAACGTGACGTCCTGGGAGGACAGAACACGGCGAGAGGTGGGGTGGTAGAACTGCCACCCTGGCACGTCAGGGGGGAAACCTAGGAAGACGTAAGGAGCAGCACGAGGGGACAGCTTGTCCGCAGACAAGTCGCGGACAAACGCCCGAGATCCCCAGACACGGAACGCAGATGCATCGCCAACCTTCCCTGTCCACAGCAAAGCTAGGGAGGTCTCCGGCATGGAGACCCTGGGCTGAAGGTTGATCTGATGCGCCGCGTACCGGACCGCAAACGGCCACAGAAAATGGGGGGCAGCCGCATGCATCATGGACGTACGGGCAACGTTCATGACCATGCCAATGCGGCGCTCAGCAATCCCATTTTGCTGTGGAGAGTCCGGAAGCGTGAAGGTCTGGCGGATACCTCGTGCATGACAGTAGGCATGCAAAAGGCCAGAGAGAACTCTCCACCTCTGTCAGATTGCAGACGCAGAACAGGAAAGTCTGAGACAAAGCTCCGCCTGAGCTGGAGACGAGCTGCGCGGATCCAGTCGATCAACACCTCAGTGGCATCACCCTTGCTGCGCAAGGGGAAGACTGTGGTAAAAGAGTAGTCGTCAACCACCAGCAGGATGTAGCGCTCGTGACCCTGTCCACGGACGCGGGCGGGGCCCCACATGTCCATGTGAAGCGTCTGTAGCGGGGCCTCTGTTAGAGGAAACTGGGAGGAGTGAGGGGCAGCCCGCTGCCGCCCCTCGACACCGGGGACGCATGAAGGGCCAGGCCCTGGAGGAAGGGGAGGGAGGGACCGGGGAAGACCAGAGACAAGGACACGGGAGACCATGCTTCGGAGACGAAGCAGGGAGGGGTGACCAAGGCGGTGGTGCCAGAGGAGAGTCTCGTGAGACAGGAGGCGACACGAGCAGGGGGCAGACTCAGGACCAGACCTGGACGCAGCTACCTGACCAGACGCAGTGACTGGAGGAGACGCAGTGGTCTGTGTGTACAGGCTTGACCCTGGCCGACGTGTAAACGTGGCCAAGTGTCGGCCTGTCCGAGCGTCCGTGCAGTGGGTCACCCGCTGACTCGCAGGAGTGAACTGGTGAACCCCCACATCCTGTAATTCAGCACCACTCACCAAGTTCGTAGAGAACGAGGGGAGGTAAAGACCAGACAGGGTGCCAGAGGGGGCCGCCGGACACGGGAGGATAGTGGAGAAGTGAGCAAGGACAGGACCCCCAGAAGGGTCTGCCAGAGAGACTGCAACTGGCCGACCAAGCGGCGTGAGTGTGGTGCGGTCTCGAAAGAAGGAGCGAGAAGCCCCCGAGTTTAGAGTGAAGGTGTGGGAGGCCGAAGTCGACGCAGTACCTGAGAGCGCAGACTCACCAGCACCTGAGGAAGGAGATGCACTAGCACCTAGAGCAGCAGCCTCGCTAGTACCAAGAGCAGCATCCTCAATGCCTGGGTTGGGCGGAAAACACCGGTAACAGTCACCCTCATCACTAATAGTCACAGCATACATAGCAGCAAGAATAGCATCAAAGTCAAGGTCAAAGATAGCTACCCCCGCCGTAGACAGCTCGCCCCAGTGATGGATCTCAGTGGCCTCAGTGAACTGGTGACGCCAAGCGTCTGTCAGGCAACCAAAGAAGCGTTGGGTGGGGTGCGCACCCCCACACTGCTCACCCGCACGGTCGCCGGTGCGGAGGACGTAGGTGCACGGACCAGTACCCCCACCCCGCTGGCGTGCAGCGTACCACTCACGGAGCTGCTAAGGGGGGGGGGGGGATGTCACGAGTGCGTTGCTGCTGCTCCTGCTGGCGCTGACCACCACCGGAGCCGACCCTCTGCGCAGCGCCACCCCGACCAGCTCCACCTCCTCCGCCTCCGCCTCCTCCTCCGCCGCCACGTCCGCCACCTCCGCTCCCACCGCCACCGCTGCCTCCGCCTCCGCCTCCATTGCCGCCACCGACACCTCCACCCCCGCCACCACTCCCACCACCACCCCCACCCCCTCTGCCGGCTCCACCGCCACCTCCACCGCCCCCGCGAGCTCCTCCAGCGCCCTTGCCCCCTTTTCCCTTGCCTGTGCGGCGCTTCCCGGAAGGGGCAGACGCAGCGCCGACCGACTCGAAACCAACGAGGTCGGCCGCAGCAGCAGAAGCAACAGAGGGCAAGAGGGGGGAGGGGGAACACCCCTCAAAGACGGGGGTGCGAGGGTCACCACGAGAGGCTCCTACGGCGACTATGCTCTTCTCTGCTGCTAGGAGGGCCTTCTCGAGGAGGTCAATGGTGAGAGTGGTGGGGCAAACAGAGAGGAAGTTGTCCCTGACTACGCGGAGGGAGTCAGGGAGACGGGCGACTATGTAGTAGAGGGTGATGTACATGGGGGGGGGGGGGGGGTTCTTGGCGCAGAACTGAGCAGGAAACGCAGCGCGGTAGCGAGTGTCACTAGTGCGGAGGTTGCGTAATGAGGTCAGCAACTGTGGGAAAGGCAGCAAGGTCAGGGAAGAGGTACGGTAGCATGAGGCGGCTCAGTGCAGCAGTGGCAGGGGAGGAGTAGCGTGCAACTACAACGTCGTACAAGGTCTGAGCACTCTTGTACTGGCTAAAGTGCGCACGCTCAGAGGTAGGCAGGTGGCGACGCACAGCAAGACGTGCAGCAGCATCGCGCGTGGCCCACTGTGAGCGAACAGTGGCGTCAGCATCAGCAGCGGAGGCAGGAGAGGCACCAGAAGTGAGGTCAAAGAGGGAGAGGCTGTCAGCCCTATCGCACTGTAAGAAAAGCTGCCGGTCATCTACCCATACGTCAAAGTCAATGGCCCTACCCTCAGCGTCCAAAGTGAGGACACTAGGGGTAGCCATGACAGCAGTAGACTAGCAGCGCGAACAGTAGGGTAAGGGCAGTGCAGTGACAGAAGCGCTGCTCTTACCAGACAGGGGGGCTCGGAGGCGCGGGCGGCTCTGCTGCAGGGCGACTCGGCGGCTCGGCTGCTGGGCGGCTCGGTGGCTCGGTGGCTCGGCTGCCGAGCGGCTCGGCGGCTCTGGCGGCTTGGCTGCTCGGCTGCTGGGCGGCTCGGCGGCTCGGCTGCAGGGCAGCTCGGCGGCTCGGGCGGCTCGTCGTGGTGCGGCGGCTCGGGCGGCTCGGGTGGCGGGCGGCGCGGCAGCAGGCGACGGCGCTGGCGCCTCAGTTGTGACGGCGCGGCCGGCAGAGGCGGCGCCGGGGCCGCACAGGTAGGCGACGGGGCCGGGAAGGGCAGCGCCGGGGCCGCAGGTAGGCGCCGGGGCCGCAGGTAGGCGACGGGGCCGCAGGTAGGCGACGGGGCCGCAGGTAGGCGACTGGGCCTGCAGGGGCGGGGCCGGGTCGGGAAGGGCGGCGTCAGGGCCGCGCTGTAGGCGACGGGGCCGCAGGGCGGCGGAAGGGCCGCGGGGTAGGCGACGGGGCCGCAGGGCGGTGAATCGGGGCCGGGAAGGGCGGCGCGAGGGCCGCGGGGTAGGCGGCGTGGCCGCTAGGGCGGCGGATCGGGGCCGTCAAGGGCGGCGCCGGGGCCGCAGAGGTAGGCGACGGGTCACTAGGGCAGCGGATTGGGGCCGCAAGGGCGGCGCGACACAGCCGCTAGGGCGGCGCGACAGGGTCGAGAAAGGGGGAGCGCGACTCGGGCAAGGGCTGAGCGCGCTCCGGGTAGGAAAAAAAAATCGAATCGGTGGGCCCTAGGAACAGTTCCCACGAGGGAACCTGGTTGATACCATGAGAGAACTGAAACGAGAATGAATCAACTATGAAAACGTTGGGTACAAGTACTAACCCTAATTGGGTTGTACCCCTTATGGGCTACCCCACTATAGCCTACACAAAATGCATAAGCTATGATGTTCTGACAGGCCGCACGCGCTCCCCAGGGCGCCGCGACGAGCAGGGCGGGGGCCGCGCGTGCTCACCAGGGCGCCGCGACAAGCAGGGAAAGGGCCGCGCGCGGGTCTCCAAGGCAGGAAACCACCGCGCGCCTTGGGGCGCACGGCGGGCAGAATGTGAAAGTAAATGACCAGGAATGAATGAACTAGCGGTGAAATGAGTACAAGTAGGAAACCCTAGAATTGTGTACCCCCTATAGGCTAACCCACTGTAGCCTACACAAGCATAACATATATAATGTTTGACACACCCCCATAGGCAAAGTGGGGGAGAACAAGGGGTCACAAGACCAGTCAAGTAAAGCAAAGCAAGCTCAGGGTGGATCACAAAGTCACCACACAGTCCGAGCACAAGAGTAGGGCCAGAGGCCAGTTCACATGCAGGAGTACAGACATATATATAAAACTAGACAAGCAAGAGCAAGTATATATATATATGTCACAGTACAAGTGAAGTCAAGAGGAGAGCAAGTGAGGCAAGACAGACACAAGACCCAGCTGGGTACAAAAGCGCTGATGGTCACAAGGCGCGAGTGCCTTGGTGAACACATCAGCAGTGTTGGCCTCAGAGGCCACGTACGCAAGTCGCAACTGACCACGCTGCTGCAGCTCACGAGCAAGGAAGTAGCGGAGAGCAATGTGCTTCGTTCTGTGCTCCAAGCGCTGCTCTCGACACAAGGCCAGCATGGCCTTGTTGTCTACGTACAGCACTGGAGGAGAACGAGGCGGCTCTCCAAGGTCAGTCAGCAGGTAGGTGAGCCAGCGAAGCTCCTGTGCAGCCATGGCCCCGGCGTAGATCTCAGCCTCACAACTGGAGCCGAGAACCGAAGACGACGAGTAGACCGCCACGAGACAGAGCCGGAACCAAGGCTGAAGGTGTAACCCTGTGACGACCGCTGCGTAGCCTGGACATAGCGAGCAAGAATGCTCAGAGGGTATGCAAGGTCAGGTCGTGTGCAGGTCATCAGGTACATGAGGCAGCCAACAAGCTCTGCATACGGACCACTCGACTCTACGGACTCATCCGAAGGCAGAGCTGAGAGTGAGTGGCGAGTAGGCAGAGGAGTGGCCTGAGGCGAGGAGTACGTGAAGCCGAAGCGCTGAAGGACCTGCTGCACCATGTGTGACTTAGTCAAGGTAATGGTGCGGCGTGCTCTGTCCCGAGTGATCTGCAAGCCAAGGTAGCTGCGCAGTTCACCCAGGTCTGTGCACGTGTGTCTCTTCAGCAGCTCGGACTTCACGTAGGCGAGTCCAGCAGTGTCCGCTGTGGCAAAGACCAAGTCGTCGACGTACACGAGGATGTAGAACGGCGGCAGGGAAGTGTCGGTGTGAAGAAACAGCGACGGGTCAGCAGTAGAAGGAGCAAACCCAAGAGCCGCAAGCGTAGTCCTCAGTGTGTCGTGCCACTCACGCGGTGCCTGGCGGAGACCGTAGACTGGCCGTCGGAGGCTCCACTGGGTGCCAGGAGGGAAAGTCCCAGTGAAGCCAGGTGGACGGCGAAGCCAGATCTCCTCGTGCAGGCTACCCTGCAAGAACGCAGTGCTGAAGTCGAGAGAGTGAAGCTCGTAGTCGCGCTGAGCGGCTATGTGCAGCAGCACCCAAAGAGTAGTCATCTTCGGGGTGGGAGAGAAGGTCTGAAAGTAGTCAACTCCCTGCCGCTGACTGAAGCCACGAGCAACGTACCGTGCCTTGAAGACAGGTGGAGAGCCCGGCGGCCGCTTCACCCTGAAGATCCACATGCCACTGACGATGTTCGCCCCAGGAGGGGGAACCGCGTCAACGTAGGTGCCTGTGGACTTCCAGGAAGCCATCTCTGCATCCATAGCTGCCTGCCACTGAGAGGAGTAGGGACCCTCTACGGCCTCCGCGTAAGAGCGCGGAGTCGGGATGTCTAGTGCATCCGGGTCTCCCTCAGGGGCAAGCAGTACAGACGCGAGATGAGGTGAAGCAGCCGCTAGACACTTTAACTCCTCCTGCCTGTCCTCTAGGACGTCCGTGCCAAGAGCACACTCACCCCCGACGGACGGAGGACAGACAAACGCAGACTCAGCAACAAGACTAGCAGCATAGTCGAGACGACAGCGAGCAGCAAAGTCGACGAGCTCAGCGACTAGAGCAGACGCAGCAGTGGACTCAAAAGAGGGGTCAGTGACGACAGTAGCAAGCAGACGCGTGACAGTAGGACTGGCAGCACGAAGAGAGTCCGACTCAGGGTCGGCAAGCGCAGGAAGAGAGGACTCAAAAGGAGAAAGCAAAGGGGCACGCAGAGGAGCAGTGGACGGACGCAAAGACACCCGGTGCGTGCCAGGGACAGGAGGAGGACGCTGACGCGAACTGCGACCACTAGCGCGAGCAGCACGAACAGGCGACGCGGGACGAGACGCAGGCTCACGACGCTCAGCAAGACCTCCAGTAGGACCAGTGTAAGGAGAGGGAGCAGGCAGTGGAGAGGAAGGCTCCAGCAGGGATTGCGACTGGACAGGCGGTGGACCCTCTACTGGAGGAGAAAAACCAAGAACCTGCTGCAGGAGCGGAACAAAGTACGGCCGAGGCCGCGCGGCAGCTCCAGACTCAGCAGGGACAGCACCAGCACCCTCAGCGACAGCACCAGCGCCACCCACACCTCCAGCGGCAGGACCAACAGCAGTAGGCTCAGCACCAACGCCCTCAGCAGCTCCAGCCCCAGGAGGACCCGCAGGTCCAGCAGCTCCGGGACCGGCAGCACCCGCACCCTCGACGGTCGAAGAAGCTCCAGCTCCAACTCCAGTAGCACCTCCAGACTCAGCAGCACGCCTCCAGCGGCGAGCGAACCACTCGCGCAGCTCCTGTGGAGAGAGGGGCTCCCGGCGAGACGCAGCAGCAGGAGAAACCCCAGGCTCAGCAGCTCCAGACGCAGCACCCCCAGGCTCAGCAGCTCCCAGCTCAGCACCCCCAGGCTCAGCAGCTCCCAGCTCAGCACCCCCAGGCTCCGCACCCTCCGCAGTAGCACCCTCAGGCCCAGCACCCCCAGTAGTAGCACCCCCAGGCTCAGCACCCCCGCGCACAGCACCCCCAGAGTCAGCACCCCCAGGCTCAGCACCCGCAGCAGCACCAGATTCACCAGTAACCTCGACCGGGTCAACGGCGTCTACCTGGGACACACCTGAGGGGGCAGGAACCTGAGGGGGGAGGGGGTCTACCGGGGGGGGAACCGGCACAAGGAAGTCCGGGGGAGGGGGGAGGGAAGGAGTGCGGTAGGGGAAGAGACGGTAGAAGGGGACTGACTCGTCGAACGTGACGTCCTGGGAGGACAGAACACGACGAGAGGAGGGGTAAAAAACTGCCACCCTGGGGCGTCAGTGGGGAAGCCAAGGAAGACACAGGGAGCAGCACGAGGGGACAGCTTGTCCGCAGACAAGTCGCGGACAAACGCCCGAGATCCCCAGACACGGAACACAGACGCATCGCCAACCTTCCCCGTCCACAGCAAGGCTGGGGACATCCCAAGCCGAGAGACCCGGGGGTGAAGGTTGAGCTGATGTGCCGCGTACCTCACCGCAAACGGCCACAGAAAATGGGGGGCAGCCGCATGCATCATGGACGTACGAGCGACATCCATGACCATGCCAATGCGGCGCTCAGCAATCCCATTTTGCTGCGGTGAGTCCGGAAGCGTGAAGGTCTGGCGGATCCCCCGTGCACGACAGTAGTCTCGCAGAAGGCGAGAAGAGAACTCTCCGCCTCTGTCCGAGTGCAGACGCAGAACAGGAAAGTCCGAGCCGAAGCTCTTCCTGAGCTGGAGACGAGCCTCGCGGATCCAGTCGATCAGCACCTCAGTGACCGCACCCTTGCTGCGCAAGGGGAGGACTGTGGTGTAACGCGAGTAGTCGTCAACCACCAACAGGAAGTAGCGCTCGTGACCCTGCCCACGGACGGGGGCTGGGCCCCACACATCCATGTGAAGCGTCTGCAGGGGAGCCTCTGTCGGGGGGAAGTGGGAGGAGTGAGGAGTAGCCCGGAGGCGACCCTCGACACAGGGGACACAGGAAGGTCCTGGCCCGGAGGGGAGAGGAGGGAGAGACTGGGGAAGACCAGAGACAAGGACACGGGAAGCCATGCTCCGAAGACGGGGCAAGGAGGGGTGGCCAAGACGGTGGTGCCACAGGAGAGTCTCGTGAGACAGGAGGCGACAAGAACAGGGGGCAGACTCAGGACCTGACCGGGACGCAGCAGCAAGCACCTGACCTGACGCAGCCACCTGACCAGACGCAGGGACAGGAGGAGACTCAACGGTCAGGGTGTAGAGACTCGACCCCGGCCGACGCGAGAACGTGGCCAGGTGTCGGCCTGTGCGTGCCTCCGTGCAGTGGGTCACCCGCTGACTCGCAGGAGTGAACTGGTGAACCCCCACATCCTGCAGGTCCGCGCCACTCACCAAGTTCGTAGAGAACGAGGGAAGGTACAGACCAGACAGGGTGCCCGAAGGGGCAGCCGGACACGGGAGGACAGTGGAGAAGTGAGACAGGACAGGACCCCCAGAGGGGTCAGCAAGGGAGACTGCAACCGGCCGGCCGAGCGGCGTAAGGGTAGTGCGGTCTCGAAAGAAGGAGCGAGAAGCTCCGGAGTCAAGTGTGAAAGTGAGGGAGGACGAGGACGACGCAGTACCTGAGAGCGCAGTCTCACCAGTACCTGAGAGCGCAGACGCACTGGCACCTAGAGCAGCAGCCTCACAAGCACCTAGCGCAGCAGTACCAATGCCCGGGTCGGGCTGGAAACACCGGTAACCCTCATTCTCCTCACTATAAGTCACAGCATACATAGCAACAAGGATAGCATCAAAATCAAGATCAAAGATCGCTACACCAGCCCTAAGAAGCTCATCCCAGTGAGGGATCTCACTAGCCCTAGGGAACTGCTGACGCCAAGCGTCCGTCAGGCGGCCAAAGCAGCGCTGGGTGGCGTGGGCACCCCCACACTGCTCACCCGCGCGGTCGCCGGAACGAAGAACGTAGGTGCAAGGACCAGTACCCCCACCCCTCTGACGCTGAGTGTACCACTCACGAAGCTGCTGAGGCGGAGGGAAGTCCCGCGAACGCTGCTGCTGCTGCCGCTGCGAGCGCTGGCCACCACCACCGCCGCTCCGCTGCTGGGTACCACCCCGACTAGCTCCACCCCCTCCACCACCACCACCTCCTCCGCTGCCTCCTCCGCCGCCTCCTCCTCCGCCGCTGCCACCACCACCACCGCTGCCACCACCACCGCCGTCTTCGCCGCTGCTGCCACCACCACCACCACCCCCGCCACCTCTCCCGCCGCCACCCCCACTCCCTCCGCCACCTCCGCCGCTACCGCCACCTCCCCCTCCAGCTCCACCCGCGCCCTTGCCCCCCTTGCCCCTGCTAGAGCGACGTCTCCCACTAGGGGCAGACGCCGCGCCGACCGACGCAAGACCAAGCAGGTCGGCAGCAGCAGCAGCAGAGGCAACAGAGGGCAGCAAGGGGGAAGGAGAGCACCCCTCAAAGATGGGGGTGCGAGGGTCACCACGAGAAGCTCCTACAGCGACTATGCTCTTCTCCGCTGCAAGGAGGGCCTTCTCGAGGAGGTCAACGGTGAGGGTGGTGGGACAGACTGCGAGAAAGTGGTCCCTGACTACGCGAAGGGAGTCAGGGAGGCGTGCGACGACGTAGTAGAGAGTGATGTACATGGGGGGGGGGTTCTTAGCGCAGAACTCAGCAGGAAGGGCGGCGCGGTAGCGAGTGTCACTAGTGCGGAGGTGCGTAATGAGGTCAGCGACAGTGGGAAAGGCAGAGAGTTCAGGAAAGAGGTACGGAAGCATGAGACGGCTCAGTGCAGCAGTGGCAGGGGAGGAGTAGCGCGCAACTACAGCGTCGTACAAGGTCTGAGCACTCTTGTACTGACTAAAGTGCGCACGCTCAGAGGTAGGGAGGTGGCGACGCACAGCAAGACGTGCAGCAGCATCGCGGGTGGCCCACTGAGAGCGCACAGTGGGATCAGCATCAGCAGCAGGAGCAGGAGAGGCGCCAGAGGTAAGGTCAAAGAGAGAGAGGCCGTCTGCCCTGTCGCACTGTAAAAACAGCTGCAGGTCATCTACCCAGACCTCAAAGTCAATGGCGCGACCCTCAGCGTCAAAAGCTAGAACACTAGGGGTAGCCATGACGACGACAGTGAAGCAGTGCAAGCAGTAGGGAAAGAGCACGCAGTGACAGTGCGACTGTGCTCACCAGGCAGGGCAGACCGGGCAACTCTGCAGAAGGGCGGCTCGGGGACTCAGCGACTCGGCTGCTGGGCGGCTCGGCTCCCGGGCGGCTCGGCGATAGGGCGGCTCGGGTGCAGGGCGGCTCGGCTCCCGGGCGGCTCGGCGGCAGGGCGGCTCGGGTGCAGGGCGGCTCGGCTCCCGGGCGGCTCGGGTGCAGGGCGGCTCGGCTCCCGGGCGGCTCGGGTGCAGGGCGGGGCCGGGACAGGGGACGGCGGGGCCGTCAGGTGCAGCGGCGGGGCCGTCAGGGTGCAGCGGCGGAGCCGGGACAGGGGACGGCGGGGCCGTCAGGGTGCAGCGGCGGGGCCGGGACAGGGGACGGCGGGGCCGACAGGTGCAGCGGCGGGGCCATCAGGGTGCAGCGGCGGGGCCGGGACAGGGGACGGCGGGGCCGTCAGGGTGCAGCGGCGGGGCCGGGACAGGGGACGGCGGGGCCGACAGGTGCAGCGGCGGGGCCGTCAGGGTGCAGCGGCGGGGCCGGGACAAGGGACGGCGGGGCCGTCAGGGTGCAGCGGCGGGGCCGACAGGTGGGGACGGCGGGGCCGTTAAAAAGGGGACGGCGGGGCCGTC